TCTGCCGCGCCACGTGGATCATCTCTGGGCCTGGGAATTGAACTCACCCTGAAGCAGCCGTGTCCAGCTTCTCAGTGTTGTGCTTCAACCCGCTGTGCCACCTGGAGGACCCTGGCTTTTTGTTGCTAGAAAACTCTTGGCCCTCTCACTTTCTGTATGGAAACTTGCAATTAGTGTGGAGGTGAACAGAGGTGAGGCAACACTCCAACTTCACTGCCTATGTCCACACACCCCACAGAAAGTTCCAGGTCTCCATCTCGGCGCCAGGTCCCTGTGGAGCTGATGGGCACAGGAATAAGATTTTCTGCTGAGTCGGTATACAGAGTAGAGACCACACACTTAACTGTCAATTTGGTTTTTGTTTTGTGAAATCTGGTTGGATGAAGACTGAAAGTACTGTTTGGAATTCTGTGGCTGCTTTTTTGCAGCAAGTGTGCTTGCTTCTGATTTGATGACTTCATGAGGCTTGGTCATTAGTTATGAGCCAAATCCGTACCAGAGACTCATGTTCCATGTCCACTATTCGTGCAAGAGGTGTTGGTCTGGTGCCCACCCCAGACACACTGAGAGCTCTCACTCCAGAAGTTTAGGTAGAACCTTGGGCAATTTGCTCCCTCTCCTTTGGGCCTCAGTTTCCCTCTGTGGACAGTCTTATTTGAACAGGTGTGCCTGGTTGACCCAGCAGGGCAGGGCGAATCACATACCCCACCCTGGTTTATAGCTCATGTACAAGTGGCCACATTTGCACCTTCTAGAATCCTTATCACCTAAGTCTTCTGTTGTCACATCTCTTGAGCCACAAGTCCCTGGGATTCCTGGATTCAGCTGACCTATCCAAAGTCCAGCTCAAGTTGTATGTGAATGTATGGATGGACAGGTGGATGGATGGATATGTGGATGGTGGTGGATCACTGGTTGTGTGGGTGGCTGGATGGATGTGTAGATGGGTAAATGGGTGGACAGGTGGGTAGATGATATGGCTCGGAAGAGGTATATGTCTGTGCACTTGATACCAGTTAGTGAAATCCTTACTATTCAAGGAGGTAATGCGATGGTAAAAATACTTTGCTATATTTTCTTCATTTGTTAAAAAATGGAAGAGAAGAAGGCAGTGGTGGTAGGGAGTGGTTAGTAGTTATAGGTCATTAACCTATCACAGTTGAAGGTTTTTTTTAAAATATTTATTTATTTGTACAGACAGAACTGGGGTGCAGGCCAGAGGTGCAGGTGCAGTGAGAGTGGGGAGCAGAACAGGGAGATCAACAAAGTACACTGCTGATAGAGCAGCGGGCGGGTCAGGGGAGGTCTGCCGCGCCATGTGGTCACCTCCCAGGGCTGGGATCGAACTCATGCTGAAGTGTCTTTAGCTTAGTCCTGTGCTTTAACCCACTGCGCCACCCCAGAGGGCCTGAAGTGTTTTAGTCACTCATGTTCCTGAGGCAGTGGGGAGAGCTGGGTTGAACCGGGCCTCTAACTCCAGAGCCTGTGGTTGTCCAGTGAGTTCACTGCTGGCTGGGACTGCACTCGCTCCCTTGCCAGAACATGAAAAGGTCCAGGCCTCGGCCAGATGGAGTGGAGTCTGTGTTTGTTCAACAGTCTGAGAGGGCTGTCTCACGGCCCAAGTTCCAGTCCCAGCTTATCTCCATAAAGGAGGCCCAGCAGGGCTGTGGAGAAAGTTGGTGGGGTGTTGGCACATCACTGCCAGTGTCCGGCAGGGACTGGTCATGTCCTCAGGTACACTAGAGCGCCTGTGACCGTGGAACGTCCCGCCAGGGAAACTGTCAGGGCGATGTGGTGCTGACCCTGTTCCTGCCTGAAGGCCGGGGTCGGGGTTGGGGTGGTGGTGGCTGTTTCAAGAGCCAGAAGAGGCCTCAGACCACTGTCTGCCCCTCTGGCCAGCACAAACACAAGCTTCTTCTGGATTGCACTCTGCGGCCCAAGAGCAAAGGGTGTAGGAGTGTAGTTTCTCCATGTCTGGGCCTGCCGGCACAGAGATAGCAAATGCTGGGTGAGGACTTGGGGGTGGGGAAGATCCTGCTAGGCCCTGCCCTGGGCCGCCCCTCCCTCGCCCCATGGTCTAGATATGTGCACTGGGTCCCACGACACTCAAGACTGTGGGCTTAGCTGCTGGAGAGTGATGTCACTGAAGACACTAGGGTGTACCCATGTCTTGCCTCTTAGGTGCTTCTGTTAATCCTAGGAAAGCTGTGATTACCCCACCTACCCATATGAAGATAGAAGTGAGAGTTGGGGAATAGAATCTAATCTGTTCCAAGCACAGGTGGCTCTCAGGGGCCTGTGTGCTGAGGTCAGCTATTGGGGGCCACTGGACTTGTGCTACCTTCTGCAGCTGGGGTCCTGTGCAATCCCTCAGAGGCTGTGTACCTTCTGTCTGTAGAGCAGGGCTGCTGATGGACATGAGGACCCAACACTTCTTAGGAAGCTCGTGTGGCCATATAATGTGGATTCCAGAGGGGTTTATGGGGGTGTTAAGAAATGAGCCAGGGCATTGGCCTGCACTCCCTGAGACCCCACCCCCAGATATTAGCCGGGAGGAGCATGAGAGTAACTACGGCAGGAGGAAGGGCCCTGGCGTCTCCTTGGACAGCGTCCTGCTGATTCGTGGCCTGAAAGAGGCTGTAGGAACAGGAGGAGGAGAAGGCCAGCTCAGTGGCCTGAGACACTGGGAGAGCAGCTGGCCCCAGGGGTGAGGGGCGTGGGCTTCTCAGAGCAAGGAGCGGAGGAGGAGGGATCTGGCATAGTTGTTAGGACACAGACCACCACAGACCTCTTGGCAACAATCCAAACTCAGAGATCAGGGACTCTGGGCGGCTGGTGGGGCCAGGCGAGGAGAGGAGATGCCGTCTCTTCCACTGCCATGCCACTGTCCCTTCCACCTCTTTAGCTTCCTCCAGCTCCTGCATGGCTTTCACCCTTCCACTCATGCTGTCCCAAGTGTGAGGCTATTTTATTGCCACCCTTTTGCTGTCTTTTTGAATCAACTTCTCCTTCAGGCCACACTTGCCAGCTGGTGACCTCTGGGCATGTTTCTCGGTTCTCGCTGCTTTGTCATTCTCATCGCTGGCCTCTGGCTGGGCATCTAGTCAGGAAAACTTCCTGTACTACAAGTGACAGGGGCCATATTGTCATTGTTGTGTCCCCATCACCATGGCCTCTAGCATCCAGGGTACGCCTGAGTGAAGGAAGAGGGGAAAGCAGGTGTGCTGGCAGCTTCTGACTCCCGGGGGGAAGGTCAGTGTGCCCCAGGGAGGCCCCCCAGTGAGTGAAAGCAGAGCACTAAGCAGGGAAGAAACTTCACTGCTACTTTTCCAACCTAGTGACCACCCCTTCCCTGACCCTGCAGCTCTCTGCTTCCATCTTGCCGCCCATGGACTCTTGATTGCATGGTGGACCTGGGGGCTCCTTCTCCATGTACTTCATACAGTATTAATGCAGTAGCCATGGACTCAGTGACTATCCCACTGGACCCGGCTTTTCCTGGGGGATTGTCTTGGTCCAGATAGAGGGTAGGTGTGATGAAGATGGGTGCGTGTGTGTGTGTTGGGGTGTGACAAGGTGGGATTCCTGGGTGACATAATTGCTCTTGATTTCTCTGTGGACCAAACTGCCCAGCCTTTGCTGGCCCTCAGCCCCTTCCCCAGTGTGTCCCTCAGCCTGTGTCCCACCTCCCTGTGCCTCCAGTGGGGGACACCTATCTTCCTCCACCCTTGCCTCCAGCCAGCCTAGGCCTTGCTTTCTGGAAAATCTCTGCCAGGCCTATGAGTGTGACCTGCTGGTATCCTGGTCTCCCTTGCTGAGGTGAAGTTGGGTACCTCATCTTCCCCCTGGCTGTGTCCCCTGTGAGGAAGTGACAACTTAGAGTTCCACTGTAGGGCCTGCAGAGGCAGTGGGAGGTCTGGACATCTTGGCACCTGAGGAGAAGGGCATGTGTGCTCTATGTTCCTTGTGTCCATAATGTTCAGGTGAGGTCTGGGCCTACAGAAGCAAGGAGTGATGACAGAGCTTGCTTTGTGCAGTGACTCATCAGTGATTGGTACAGATATGCCCACTACTGTGCCCCTGGGCATTTTAAACACACTCAGTACACATTTAAATATTGATTCTGTAAAATGGCAACTTGTTTCATAGTCCCTGGCCCTCCCGTCATCACCAGGCTGCCTTCATAAACTGCCTGGCATGAGCAGATTACAAATATAATGGGTGGCCTTTAGAGAAAAGAAAACACTGCCCTGGTCAACAGGGCCCAGTTCTGATCTCTGGGCACAACAGATGCTGGCCACCCTGTCTGGAGGGACAGGCACCAAAAAGCACCTTCCTGCAGCTCTGCGACTGGCTCAAGCATGGACTGCTCCAGCAGAGTGCGTCTGGGGGGTTCAGAAGGACCAGAGATGTTCAGGATCACAGAGCCTGTAATCAGGGGCCCAGTGGAGATGAGCAGGTCATGTGGGGATGGTCATTTCAAACAGGCGTGATCAGATCGCATGGGAAGCTCAGGCGGCATGGAGATTTTCAGCATCACATGGGCAAGGTTTGGCTCGCTGGCCTTTCCTTTTCATGTGTCGGCATCTTGGCCTCCTGGCCTTAACCTTACAGGAAGCCACAAGGGACTAGAGCTCGCCCTGGAGGTCATATTTTGCTTGAAGTACCTCTCTTCAAGGTATCACTTTCTCATCTTCTAAGATTTGGGGGGTTAGGACTCCACTTGAATTTTGGGCATGTTTCTTGCATTTTTGCCCATTACTAATAAGATTATAATGAGATAAGATGATGTGGGCCGTCCTGCATAGGAGGGGAGCTTGGCCTGCTGCCCTGGCTGTGGCTGCGTTGAGCTGCTTTGCGCTGGCCATCTGGCTGACAGTGGCCAGGACAGTGCGGCTATTCCATGGGCTGGTTGGTGGAGGACATTTAGGAGCGCCTCCCTTTATGTGGGCGTGCCAGGCCCCCTGCACACCGAGCTCTGCATTGTCTCTCCCTTCCAGCTTGGCGCCAATGCCCTGCTCTTCGTCAGCGTGAACATGTATGGGGTCTTTGTGAGGATCCTTGCTGAGCGCTCCCAGAGGAAGGCCTTCTTGCAGGCCCGGAACTGCATTGAGGACCGGCTGAGGCTAGAGGACGAGAACGAGAAGCAGGTGTGTGTGGTGGGGGCTGTTTGCAGGGGTGCGGGGAGCAGGGAACACATAGCAGGAGGGCAGGGGACAGAGCAGGGAGTGGAGAGTGACGGCAGGGAGCACAGGAAAGGAACATGGAATGGGGAGCACAGTGGGAGTGCCGGGGCAGGGCATAGCGGAGGGAGCACAGTGCAGGTCTGAACTGGCCTTCTTGCCTATGGGGAGGTGTAGGGAGCATGAGCGGGCCTCTGGGTGCCCTTGGAGATGGTCCCTGGAGGGAGGCTTCAGGTTGGCGGCTTCCTCTGCCCTCTGGGTTGGCTGATCCTCTTACCAGGTTGCATGTAAGCCTCCCCGTGAGTCCTGGAGGTGGGTCGGCTTTTAGGGGGGCACCCTTGATGTGGAGCTGGAGGAGCTGCCACTTTTTGACCTCCTGGAACCCGGGTATAATATGAGCTGGAGACTTTGAGTGGAGGCAGGAGAGAGCTGGGGGTGCAGTGCCATAGTTTTGTTGTTGCTGGAAGGGGCTGAGCTCCCAGCAAGCAGTGCCTGGTGACATTTTGGGGCAAGTTGGCTTCCAGATACAGCTTGAATAGGCTTCTCGGAAGTCTTGGGGTAGGGGACAGGGCGGGTCCTGGTTGGCCCAGACCAGCCTGCTGGCTTAAAGAAACCACAAAAGGGCACAGGCTTCTGCCAGCCCTGCCTGGGCTCATCATGTCTGACCCCACTTGAGGTAGCAGTAGCATCTCAGGGACTCTGTGTGCATGTCCCTTGGTGGTGGCGGTCCAGTGGCCCTGCACCTGCGGCTCAGCCATGCACTTACAGAGCACCCTGCACACCTCTGTGTGACCTATTGGGGCAGGGGGGTGTCCCGTCCCCCCAGCCCAAGGGACTGAGGGAGCTGGATTGGGTTTCCACTGCCCTCAGTCACTGCCAGTCACATGAGCTTGGATTTAGCCCCCTGTGGAATTTTGTTATCTGCTTTTGCTCTGGGGCCTCTCAACATGGTCTCCGTGCTCTGGGCGATCCTTTCTCTGGGGTAACCCGCAGCCAAATGTCCTTTACCAAATGTTAATCGGTTGGGCTGGTTTTCACGGGGCTGGAAAGATGGCATCAGTTCTGAATGGCCTCCTGCTTTTATTTTAAATATTAGGATGCTCCTAATGCTAATTTACGGTAAAATAGCTTTGACAGCAAAAGTAGGATATTGCTTAGAAATAGACGGCCTACGTATATTTAGATTGTGTCGTGCATCTGTGGGTGGATTTGTGCTATGAAGCTTGCCCATGTATGATATTGCACGAGTGCAGGCAATTGTACATCTCTGTGCACGTGTACATCTGTGGGTATATGGGGCACGTGTGTACGTAAAATGCACGGGCATGTGTGTGTGCGTGTGCACGTTGTGTGGGTTTGCGTTCATGTGCATTGTGCGGCATGCCTGTCTGTTCATGTGCGTGCATGTATGCACACCCACGGGCCTGTGTATATGTGATGTATAAATGTGTGTGAACAGACATGTGTAAATAGTATGTCTACTGGGACTCGAGCATCTTTCCTAGGTCAGGTGGTGTCCACTGGTCACTGTTCATACTGGTGGGGAATCTCTGATGCTTTCTAAGGGGAGCTTTGTTCAGTTCTATTACCTCATCGAGATCCTACAAGTGAGTCTTTGTGGCCTTCTCTCACCCCTTAAATGCATCCCCTGAGGTGCTGGAAATGGGGATTTTGGGGGCCATTCATGTTTTTCTGAATCTTCCATGTTTTCTCCTGCCAGATGTCTCCTTTTTCCAGCCCCTCCATTTTTGTGTCTTCATTCTGTTCTTACTCTTGCCTCCTTTTTTGTAGACTCCCAGTTCCAGCCTTGCAGTATTTTTACATACTTCCTGTCCCCTCTGAAACCTGAGGTCTGTCCGGTCTGTGGAAGCCAGTGTTGTGGTGACAGTGCAGGTGGTGGCAGCGTGTGAGGACGCCACCCTCCTGTTCTCACTCTGTGCCCACACGTGGCCTTGGGCATAGAGGCCACACACAGAACAACTTTGAGGCAACATTTGCATCTCTCTGAGTTTTCGAGCAGCTCTGTGAAGAAGGGTGTGTTTCCTCAGTTCCTCAGAGAGGAAGCCCAGACCAGGGGGCTCACGGGCATGCCAGGTTCTGACAATGGTTCTCAGATTCTTGAGCAGGAAATTTGCAGAATGCTAGAAGTCACCCAATCCCATTGTTAACTGAGCTAGAAGTCTCAATGAGTAGTAGTTATAATCAATAAACAAAGGGAGGATTGGACCTGGAAGCAGTCCGATAGATTTCACTCAGTGGGAATTGTTCCATCATCACAAGTTGGAGTCATTGATAACACAGAGACAATTGTTCCTGACTGGTGGCTGAGGGCGGTGGTGGTGGCGGGGAGGACTCTGGCTTCTGGTTCTAAGTTATTTTGACCTAAAGATTCATGGCTCTACAGAAAATAGCCTCAGTTGATTAACTGCTCACTGGCCAGAAGAAGTGCAGTGTACCTTGTTTTAACAACCTGGGGGTTACCTGGCCCCTTGCTTCATATCACAGCTAGCAGGAGGGAGTTACCTCACATCCTGCTTTAAATAGAGACTTACCACAGCTAACAAAGCTGTTTAACTTTTGTTTTACCAACTCCTTCAATATCTCCCACCAAGCCTACTAGCGGCTGCGCCCTGGCCATCCCAGCACCTTATCTAGACAGAAGGGACCGTGTGTCCTAACAAACACTGTCCTTTTAAAAGAGGGGAGGGTAGCTGAGGGCCCACATGTGAGATGCCTGTCCAAAGAAAGACTCATTAAATCGCCGAAATGCACACCCCTGGGTAGAGATTTAAAATGCTAATAAAGTGTAAAGTATAAAAAAGCATGTAGCTCTTTCTGCTCATGCTCCAGCTTTGCCCAGCCCCATACATATGACAAAACTGCTCTACATCCTGCCCTAGCTCAGCTGGCCTCTTAAAAACGTTTTTCCCAGCCCTCTCTGGTGGCGCAATGGGTTAGAACACAGCACTACAAGCTAGCCACAGCTGCTTCAGTGCGAGTTCGATCCTCCACCCTGGACGTGACCCACATGGCGCTGCAAACCTCTCCTGACCTGCCTGCTGCTCCCCTTAGCAGTGTACTTTGTTGATCTTCCTGTTCTGCTCCCCACTCTGTGTCTGGTGAATCCTCTCCCCTCCTCCCCTCCCCCCACCTCTGGCTTATACCCCAGTTCTGTATGTATAAATATATAAATCTTTATAAAAAAAAAGATTTTCCCATAGGATCAGAACCGGAGTGAGGAGAAGAGTGCATGGGAATGGGACCTTGGTGATGGCACATGGGCGAATTAGTGGTGGGAAATCCATGGGGATGACAACCGAGATGAAAAAATGCACAAAATGAAGAATGATGTAAAAAATAAATAAAATAAAAAAAATTTTACTCAAACAAAAGCTTTTTCCCCCAGATTTCCCCAGCGAACCAGTCCCCAAATCTTCCTTTCTGGAGATGTCTCCCTTGTGCATGTTTAATAAAAACTTATCTAAATGCTTCCTGTCTGGCCTTCTGATTAAATTCATTGACAGAAAGTCAAAAGCTAAACAGAGACAAACCCTGAAGTCTGTAGCACCGAGTGGCCCATGCTGCGGTGTAGTCGCTTCCTTTCTGAAGACAGCTCTGTGCCCACTGTCTTCGTCCTTGGTCTTTTGGTTGAAAACACTGGCATTAGCTGGGTGTTGGTTTTTGCACTGCCCTGGCACAGACTTGCAGTCTGTGCACATTACTTCTGTCTCTCGTCAGCTAGACCCGCTAGGCCCAGAATATTTCGCAGTGTGTTCAAACCATCCTCCCTGCTGAATGCATCGTTTCAAGGCTTTCACCTGTGCATATGGTCATTTTGGTGTGTACGTAATGTTACTTTCTGCATTTTGACTTCGTGTTCCCACCGTTATACCTACAGGGCTGTGGTCATCACTTAGACAACTGCTTCTTTTCTCGTGTTTGACTGATGTTCAGACACCAGGTTTTTAAAAATGGGTTTTCCTTATGCACACCTTTATTTCTATAGACTCCAGGAATTCCCTTCGCTGCATTTTCAGGAGGGCAAATCTGACGTCATCTCTCCCCAGTCAGTTCCTGGGATATTTTCCAAAATTGCACTTCATTATGTTTTTATAAGTAGTACCCAGTCACCCTAGGCCCTGAATAGCAGTGGTGCCCCAAGCACCTCGGGGAGACCTCCAGAAATGCATGTTCCCAGGTACTCCCATTCCCACAGGTAGAAGCTGGCTGGGGCCTCCGCCAGGTTCTCCTGCGGGCTCCAGCGTTGCTTCTGGGTGACTTTCCTTCCCCTCCTCCTTTCTCCCGGTTTCCTCTCTTCCTGCCAGTGCTCAGGACCTTCTGTTTATTCAGAGCCCCTTGCTGGTTCCTGCCGGGACTGCTGCTGCTTATGCTTGTTTTCCTTTCTGTCTGTCTTCGTGGGGTGCATGTTCTGACTTTTCTTGGGGGTTTGACTCACAGGCTCACCATACAAAGACTGCTGCCTCCTCAGAAGTGCTCCGGCGCCCCTCCAGTTCTGCTCCTCTTGCTTAGCTTGTCTTTTAATAAAAACTCATTCTTTTATATTTTTAAACATAGCAATCATTTCCCTCTGTGGTTTGATCTCTGGCTTTCAAGTTGAGCAAACGTCTGGGAATATAAAAAGTGACTGTGGAGTCTCATTTCCCTGAGATCACCCCCAGGTTTTGAGCAAGTAAACCAGGAGGTCCTGCCTAGCCGCACCCTTTCTGTTGACTGATTCGTAGCCTTGGGGTTGTGCCCCAGAACAGCCTTCTCCCTGGTTGGCCTTGCAACCGGCAGCTGGCACTCAAGTTTGCTCCCTGCTGCCAGCTGCCTGATTTTAGCTAAGGAAGCTGTCTCAGGTGGGGGGAAGGGAGGTGGAAGAACAGCGCTTTCGTTCAGACAGGGCTCAGCCACCTGTGGGGGGCCCTTCAAGCATTGACAGGCATTTGCTACCTGCCTGGGGACTG